TTAGGCTGCAAACTCTGTTTCAGTGCCATGTCCCCATGAAAGAAGTAGGGTCCTTAATGTGTAACGCTGCAGTACAGAGAACATAGGCTGATGTTTGATAGTGGCTGATTCCATAGACTTGGCATGTGGCGTTTTTGGTGCTGAAGGCTTTGTTTGTCATTAACAAGAGGAGCTTCCTATTAAGTTGCGATTTTTGAAGTAATTAAGACTTCTTTTCCCTAATTTTTATAATTAGGCATCCATCATTACTATTGTTAAATTACAATGTAGACTAAAGCAAGCTGGCTTTCTGATTGTATCTTGTAACTAATTGTCCTGTTCTCCCTTTTCTATGTTTGTGAACATATTATTCCTTTTCTTAGGGACTCTTGACTCCTAGGGATAGAGTGTGCAGCTGATTGGGTTGATTTTCTTAAAAAAAAAAAAAAAAAAAAAAAAATGGTTGATTTAATTAGGTGGTTTTAATTTGACCTAAGGCAGAGTTCGGGGTCCTTACATCTAGTTGTTTGGTATTTGGTTTGTTAGTCCACAGTGTGGATAATGTTCTGAAAGCAGCTGCACATTTCAAAGCAACAGTTTTATTGCAAGGTCAGTGTTTCAAAACTATATGCCGTTGTCCTTGTTTTTCTTGTAGGGAAGAGCAAGAAGAATCCTCAGCAATTCGAGTTGGTTTTGTCACTTACAACAAGGTCCTTCACTTCTTTAATGTAAAGAGCAACTTAGCCCAGCCTCAGATGATGGTTGTCTCAGATGTTGGAGAAGTTTTTGTTCCTTTGCTGGATGGTTTCCTTGTCAACTTTCAGGAATCACGATCTGTCATTAACAAGTAAGATAAAACAGTTCCATTCCCGAGTAGGAGTTGAATGCTTGTGCTATATGGTAACCTTTAGTAAACGGTGTCCTATGATCTCTGGAAGGGGAGAAGCTTTGTGCATGATGTACCTATCAAAATGCCTTAGGAACAAGCAGCTGCTTCAGGTCATGTATTTCTATCTCTGATACGAAGAAAAAGCAGTACCAGCTCCCTGCATGCTGCCCCTTGCGAAGCCATGCAGTTCCTAGAACTTTAACATTCCTATTTGGTTTCGTTCTGACCGGGATCTTAAGAAACGGAACAACCAACATTATTTTTTTTAAACACCAATTTGCTGTGTGAAGACTCGGTGCGTAACAGCATTACCCCAAGTATGCTAACACTGATGCTTTCCTCTTTCTTAGCTTGTTGGACCAGATTCCAGAGATGTTTGCAGACACTAACGAGAGCGAGACCATCTTTGCTCCCGTCATCCAGGCCGGCATGGAGGCGCTAAAGGTCAGAATGTTCTTCTGCACAGGAACCGACTCTTTAATGAGGGCAGGACCTGATAAGCTGCAGAAATTCCGTTTGTTGAAGGTGGTGCCAAATCCATGTACAAATGACAATGGGAAACAAGACAGAAATCATTGATCCTTTCCAGCACTTTTGTTCCATTATTCTCACAGTATGTTTGAGCTGCTTTAGTCCAAAAAAAAAAAAAAATGGCAAGCATCTGTTTCCAGATTTTGCTCATTAAGGGAAACCACTCCCTAGAGTCTATTCCACATGGTTAGAAGATGGGGAGCAGGAGTCAGCCTCTTCCTGACAGCATTTGAGAGGGAGGTCTTTAGCTATTGCAACAAAATTGTTAGCCACCCTGGCTGCTTGCACAGACATCTCATCCTTGTACGTGTGAAGGGCAGGACAAGCATAAGATGCAACTTAGCCTCCCTGTCCTCCAACTTCAGCTGACTTTTCATGCAGAACTGGAGATATTTATTCCTCTACCATGGAACTGGTAGGGGTGCAGGGATCCCTTTAACTGACAAGTTTTCACAGCTTGAATACAGCTGAAAGTGAATCTACGGGTCAAGGTGCATCCCCAGCACTTTCTGTACGCCGGGGACATCCCCTGCAGTGCCGACATTTCTGTGGAGTTCTGCCAAGGAAATGAATGACAGTATGGATCAACACAGGATTTGCTGGGGTAGAAAACAGCCAGGGGGATTTTAAGAGTTGAGTTTTCCCTGAGCTGCATACAAGTAAAGCAGACATTTTGAGTAGATGCATTTGTTGAACTGAAAATATATAGCAACTCTCAAAGTTGTTTTCTAAAAATTCACTTAATATCCGTTCTCTTGTTTTTTTTTATTCATAGTCCAGAAGTTACTGAAGAATTCAAAATTGCTAATCACTTTTTATTCCAATTAGCTGTCTCAAGAGCAAGAGTGAGCAATAAAATGTTCTAAATTTTGCTAGAAAAGTGTTAGCAATGCAAAGATGCCTGTGGTGCTGCTGCTGTTCTTTGGAATTGAAGGGTAGCTGTCATCAGTTTGCCCTCTTGGTTAGCAAATATGTTTCCCCTTACAGTTCTAACTAGAAATAGAATATTCAAATACAGCTGCCATTTACTTCATTTCATGGTGCAGGAGGAAATGTTAATTGCAAATTTTGATACTCCTAGTTTTGCCCATTAGGAGTTTAGATTCCTGTGTAGAAGTTACTGCAATGGTGAATGATCCAACATATCTGTGCTAGATTAAGTTACTGTCATAAAACTCCTGGTTCTTTTGGAGACTTCATTTCCAACAAGAGTATAGGCTCTAAATGAATTATTTAGCTTAAAAAGAGTTACGGAAAGTTTACTCTGTACTTGGAGACTCTTAAAATATATGAGAATTAGGCTCAACTCTTGATCCTAGCAGAAGAATAAAATGCCAATATGGTGTCTTTGAAACAGGCTGCAGAATGTGCTGGAAAATTGTTTATCTTCCATTCTTCATTGCCAACTGCAGAAGCACCGGGGAAGCTGAGAAACAGAGATGACAAAAAGCTACTCAATACAGATAAAGAAAAGGTATTTTCTACTCATAGTTCAAAATGGACTGCTGTTAAGCTGAATTTCTTTAGTAGTGCCTATATCTTTTTTATTTTCTTGTACAAAGGTTAGTTGTATAATTGCATTTCCATTCTCACCTTGCCTGATGATTTCAGACATACAGTAGTGAACAAGTGTATTAGTATGGATTCTGCTGGGTCACTAAAGAAAAGTTGCACTGCCCACCAATAAAGGAAATGCCCCAGCTGCAAAAGTAATTCCCTCCAACAAAAACTTCCATCCAAACAAAAATCTCTGCTGATTTAGGGATTTTGTCCTCTAAGAAGGTACCAAATTGAATCGTTTTATGTATAAAGGACGACATAAATTACAACCTAGCCATGTGTCATTTAAAACATTTTTTTTCTTTTTTTTTCACTTTCAGTTGGGCATTTGGGTTTGGACAGATTATGAACACTATCTAATGTTACGGCATTTGTGTTTTTTAATTCTGTGCAGACACTCTTCCAGCCCCAGGTAAATACTTATGAGACCTTAGCCAGAGACTGTGTGGCTAATGGCTGCTGCGTGGATTTGTTCCTCTTCCCAAATCAGTACGTGGACATAGCTTCCATGGGTCTTGTCACGATGTGCACCGGGGGAACGCTCTACAGGTACAACAACTTCCAGGTAAGTGTCCAAGTTCCTCACCTGTCACACTAACACCTGGGGGGTGGTTGTTCCTCTTTTTTTTGATTTTGCAGTGTGCTTTCATGTGTTAGCATAGAAGTGCAGTGGCTCTAGAAAAGTGGCACCTAAGTGGCACTTAAAACCTCCAGGAGATAAAATGCAGACCAGGAATGACAGATCAGGCTCTAACAGAAATCTTCAGACATTAATGGTACTTACAGATAAGCTAGTTAGATAGGAAGCTAGTTAGATAATATCTTGGTTATTTAACCAACTTGGTTAAATAAGTTGGCATCTGAGTAGGGAAGTCAATTACTCCCATGTTTACAGATAAAAAATACTTATGATCAAGACCAAAAAAAAGACCATAAGGACTTCAACTTGTTTGTTCAAAATTACTTGGGAATTTTATGGGGAATAAGAGGTTTTCTCTGTACTTGAACTGACCAGCCATCAAATTTTCTGTGAAGTACACAAGGCTGCCCTGGGTTTCTAGAAGTTCCCTAGAAGTCTGTCTAGCCTGCAGCATAAGTGAGGTTACTGGAGAGAGATTTGGTTGAAGAGGAATTTGAGATGTCCAGGCTTACTCATGAATTGGAAAGTACTTGTATGTACATATTTCTGTTAATGAGGTAGCAATCAGTTATTTTCTGTGCAATTTTAAAGGAAAAAGGAAATGTTAAATGTGGAAAGACCTTCCTGGGTAGCTGTGAGGGGAAGGGTTGGGTTTTTGCTCTTTTGCTGCCGCATAGTGGTGAACTGCAACTTCTGCCTTCCGTGTCTAGCTCAGTTCTGATAGTCCGCAGTTCCTGAGTGACCTCAGGAGAGACATAGAAAAAAAACCCGGATTTGATGCAATAATGAGGGTCCGGACAAGTACAGGTAAAGGGGCCTTCGGGGGGAGGAAAGTTAACATGAATGAATACGATACTACATAATATTAATAACACAGTTATTAGAAGTGTTACAGAGATTATCTTTAGTTCCTGGCTAAACTGTTTTCCTGTTTCCTAACCAGGCTTCCTGTTTTAAGTTTAGTATGTACCTCTTAAAATAATTGGATAGGCTGATAGAGCAGATGAGTATGCCCTTATTATGTGTGCCCAGTTTTCACTCCTGAGTAAGGCTTCTCATCATTGTCAGGCATCCTGTGCTGCAAGTAGACTGTGTAAAAACCTCTGTGTTCCTTCATTCTTTAAATACTTCTAATGAAAATACTGCTTCCACTTTCCAAGCACTCATTCTTACTTCAAGTTAAGTATTTGAGGAACCCAAACACACACAAGTTGCCAGGTCAGTGGCCGAAAAGCTTCTGAGTGTCTCTGATTCAGATCAGAGCCCCGTGGCTCATAGGGCTGCTTGGCTCTTCCTGCTGCCTCCTGTTGCCACCTGCCTGGTGGGCAGTGCCGTCAGCTGGGCCCCTCTCAGTAAGCAAAATTTAATGAACATCAATAAAGTAAGTGAATAAATGTCAGGTTTATTTGTAACTGTTAAATAAAAGTTTATCTTTTATTACTCTTTATCTGACTCAGGGTTTAGGGCTACTGACTTCTTTGGTGACATTTATATGAACAACACCACAGATGTAGAAATGGCTGCAGTTGACTGTGACAAGGCCGTGACAGTGGAGTTCAAGCACGATGACAAACTGAATGAAGATACAGGAGCCTTAATTCAGGTACAAAACTTTAATAATGTGCCATTCCATTAAATTATGTGCAAGAACCTTTGTGGCCATAATGGAACAGTCATGGTGTAGGGTTGGTGGGAAGCGGAGGTAGCTTGCCCAAGCTCTGGTGACGGAGTACCCTAACGGAATAAGATTTTAATTATCTGACCAAAGGCTGCATCGTACCCAAAAAGCACACAGCAGGAAGCATGTGTTATTGCAGTCTATCTCACTAGTAAATTAGAAGGCTTTCCAAGTATGTCACGTAAATCTGCGTGCAGCTGAACTGTGAACCAAGCAGCTGTTCTCAGCATGCAGGTTCTTACAGCTCAGGGATGCAGCAGAGAGCTGAGCAGCCAGGGTCTGCCTGAGCTGGGCAGGAGGAGTGGGAATAATCCTGTGCAGCCATATCTGCGCTGCATGTCCTCCTGGGGGGGTACCACAGTGCTTTGTGAACCCGGGTTGAGACCTTGCAAGTGATTTCTCCATTTTACAGCATAAGTTATTATTTACATGAGTACGAATCTTTGAAGTATTACATGGAAACCATTACTGCAGGGGCATTCATTGTTCAAGAGCAGTTCTCTATAGCTGCATATGATTTTCAAACCTATGCAGTGATCGGTAACTGCCAGCAACAGTACCTTATGCAATGAAGTATCCTCCTGAACTTTTTGTCTGAACGTTTGTTTCTGCTCTGCCTGATTTTCTTGTCCCTATAAATATACTTAATAGCAGTTGATCCTTGTATGATTACAGTACTGTGAAGCATCCAGATTGGTATGTCTGAAGTCATCTGCTAGAGCCGTGGTGCAGTAGTGACAGGGGATGTATAGGCCTTGTAGGTGTTACATTTACATCTCCTTCACATGGAAGATACTAGTGAAAGATCTAATGTGAGGCTCACTACAGCGATCTGGAGTGTCTGTGTTTACCTGGCAGGCTCTCATAAGATGATGAGAGTTCATATTTGATTGTAGTGCTAGGAAACAAACAAAATGTACCAGCCTGATTAATGCAGTACCAAAAAAATGTTACCAGACAGGAGATCTTGTTCTTGGTCCCTTTATTTTTCATGCTTGTAAAAAGTTTCCCAGATGCCAGCATTATGTTTAAACAAAAGAGAATTGGAGTCTTAAATAAACTCTTAAATTACCCTTCACATTCCAGTATGCCAGTCGTAGATGCAAGATACAGGGTTGGTTGGACAGCTAGTTTGACTTTCTCAGTGTGTTCTTATTTGTGGCAAAGTCATGTCAAAGTTCTTATTCATGTCAAAGCAGAGCACTGGAACAGGCTGCCCAGAGAGGTTGTGGAGTCTCCTTCTCTGGAGATCTTCCAAATCCACCTGGATGCCACCCTGTGCCATGTGCTCTAGGTGTCCCTGCTGGAGCAGGGGGGGTTGGACTAGATGATCTCTAGAGGTCCCTTCCAACCTCAAAAACTCTCTGATTCTGTGAAAGTCCCACTCGGCTTTTCAGGATTAGCCAGCTTTTCTGGGCAGCGGTTGGTGTAAGATAGAGGGATGGACAGAGTACATCTCGGAAAGCTTCCCATTTCTGTAATGTCTTTTCAGTTGCATTTGTTTGCTGGCTTTTGGTAATAACCAACTGCTTTTGGTAATACTTAAATATTACACAGTTGAAATTTTTGATTTACAAAGTTAAGCTACCTTTCTTTTTGGATGATACTGTTAGTGTGTGTCGATTAGTCACATTTTTTTCAAATTTTAAGGCTACTAACTTCTCAAATGTGTTTACGTGTCTAGCAACCTTCCATAGGAACCACAGGCGTGTTGTTCCTGTAGCTCAAAGCACTGAATGAGCCCTGGCTAGTGAAGCTGTCTTCAGATGGCCTTCTAGGCGTACAATATGTGGTTCTTTCATGGGGGAAGTCAACTTTTTGTTCTAAAATAAAACTGAAGGGGAATTTGTTTCTGTTTTCACAGTGTGCTGTCCTTTACACTTCAATAAGCGGGCAAAGAAGACTTCGCATACACAATATAGGTTTAAACTGTAGCTTCCAGTTAGCTGATGTCTACAAGACTTGTGAGACCGATGCACTTATCAACTTCTTTGCTAAGTCAGGTAAAGTTTTGGCAAATCAGTTTTGCTTCTTTTTTTCTCTGGGGCAGAGACAGGGGGAGAAAATGAAATCATTCCATTAGTGGGAAAAGGTGTTTTGCAAATTGCTGCTCAGAACCTGAGTTAACTGTTGAGTCTTAAACATGGTAAAGTTGAAAAGATAATTGCACACACAAGAACATTGTAAACGCATCTGCCTCAAGTGTCGTGCTTGGGGAGGTAGTTAGAAACATAATGCAGCAAGGTGTGTAGGTGCAATAGGAGAAAGGCACAGGCTTCAGTTCCTGCTGTGAAGTTCTCCCTCCCCTTACACTCTAATGCAAACACTATATGGCTCTTTTTGCATGGTACGGACATGGCATTGTTCTTTTATTTGAAAGATGAATATATCTTATAAAATGCTTAAAAGGGATTAAAAGCAAGGCCAGTGTTGACCTTAGCAAAGGGCGACAGGTGGTGACGTTGCCAGGTGCCCGCCTGAGCGCGCTGTTGTTGCTCTCCCCCGCAGCGTTCAGAGCCGTGCTGAGCCAGCCGCTGAAGACCGTGAGGGAGCTGCTGGTGGGCCAGGCGGCCCACGTGCTGGCCAGCTACCGCAAGCACTGCGCCAGCCCCGCCGCCCCCAGCCAGGTACCGCCGCCCGCCAGCGCTCCGCACCCCGCGTGGCACCTAGGGCTCACGGGTGGCAACTGCAACAAAGGGCAGGGGCGCTGAGGAAACTGATGCTCATACAAAGGAAACTAGACAACCCTTTTCTGCTTGGTGGAATGGTGTGCTGATTTACAGAAGTTTCCATTCTTTTCCTATGCCATTTTTTTAATATTCTAATTTTCAACAAATAATCTCTTTCTCAAAAGATGAAAATAACATCTTGCTGCTAAGTACAATGTAAATTTGCGCATAGGTTTTTCAGGTGTGCTGGAGTGATACAAACTGATGCCTACCAGGGCCCAACTCCTAGGAGAAAGAAAAAAAATCCAAGGTGGTTTTAAAATAAGACAGTCTGTTAATGCTTATTTACTAAAGGATAGTAAGAGCCTCTATTTATCCTAACACTTTTATACCCTACCACTTGAAAAAAAAAAACTTTTTTTTTCTACCCCAAATTATGAGTACTTCATTAATTATCAGCTTACTGTGTATAGTCAGAAAACATGTCAGAGTCTGAATTAAATAGAAAGGTGCTTTCACAGCCTTCCAGCAACCACTTCTGACAAAAATCTATTTCTAGTTCAAGCAAATACCCAAAGATGGCTGAATTTCAATCTTGTAAGCATTTCCCCCTCCTTCTGGCACACCTCAATATATTTCCATGCTCTTTCAAATTATGAGGTACTTCAGAAGAGCAGGATTGATTGGCTCCCCCCCCTCCCCATTCTGAATTACAACATGAGGTTTTGTACGTGAACGAATGACAAGAAGAAATCAGGATTCCCACCATTTTGGCAACATTCAGTTTAAATAATTATTTCCTTTGTTTTTTCTTTAATTGCATTTTTCTAATTCTTTCTTCTTGAATGTAACTCGCAGTTTAGAATTAACACATCCCAATTACATGACTCAAAACCTAACTGATTTTTGCTTGTGAGACTTTACAGTGTTTCCTTTTATATTATTCACCCTCGTATTAGGTATGTTAAGGCTTTACATACTGTGCTGTGCTGCTACTAATCACAAGCCTGGGCAGTGAGAACCAAAGTTGTTAGGAATATTGCAAAGAGGACTTGCCCCGCCCCCTTTTCCCTCCTAAATTGTTCAAAGGAAAACCACCCACTTTTCCCTTGTGACCTGGCTTTAATTTAGTGCCCAAAAAATAAGTTACAGAACAAAAACAGTGATGAAGTGGACTACTGTCTGTGCCAAGTAACTTATGCTTGTTATTCATTAGATGAGCCATTCACAACTGCCACATCTGGTTTGAAACAGAACATTTAAAAAGTTTGTTTCTATTTTGTTGTTTTTAATCAAAGAAAACAAGTTGTAGTGTAAGTGTTTCAAAGTCCAAGTGTCTTTGCCCAGGACACAGGATCAACTCACTCAGGAGCTTTCTCTGCCTCTCAGCTCATCCTTCCCGACTCCATGAAGGTGCTGCCTGTCTACCTGAACTGCCTGTTGAAGAGCTGTGTTCTCCTGGGCAGGCCCGAAATCCCAACGGATGAGAGAGCCTTCCAGCGGCAGCTGCTCATGGCCATGGGGGTAGCTGACACACAGCTCTTCTTCTACCCCCAGCTCTTGCCCCTTGTAAGTACAGGACTTGCACATTCCTCTGTAAACTTGGCTTCAAGAAGTTTACTTAGGCAGACTTTTAAGGCTATGTAGATGCAAAAGGAAGGCTTTTTTTCCTTTCTTTCTTTTTTCTTCTAATCCCATGTCATGACTTTAATTAGGCTTCTCCTGCTCCCTAGCTGCTAGTTGAACTCTAGTGAAGAAGTGAGGAGGAGGGGAGGTAACAAAAACAAGAAGATAACATAAACACATACTGTGTCCATCGCTGCATTCTAGCCTTTGGTAGGAAGCTCCCTTTCTTTTAACAAGGCCCTTATGTGGGCTAAGGAAATACAAGTGTCCTCGCTCCTATAATAGGCCTTCTGTTGCACACCCTGCGTTAGCTAAAAGAAGTTTTATTTCTTCTAAGCTGAATGTCTTCCGGAAAGGAACAACCACAATAACTGTTAAAGCAGTTGCTTCTTCAGCCCCTGATGGGGTACTTGCGTGGTCCTGAAGCAACACTGAAAGGGCTTTCCCTCAGCATGATGAGGTTGGCAACTCTGAGGTGTTTTTCCCTGCAGCACAGCCTGGACCTGAAGAGCGACACGGTGCCAGCCCCGCTGCGCTGCTCTGAGGAGCGACTCTCTGAGGGAGGCGCCTTCTTCCTGGCCAACGGTCTCAACATGTTCCTGTGGCTGGGGGTCAGCGTGGCCCCCGAGCTCATCCAAGGGCTCTTCAATGTGCCCTCCTTCGCACACATCAGCACAGAGGCCGTGAGTAGGAGGGAAAACTCGTCTATAGTTTAGGATAGTAATCAGGCTAACTAGGGAGGGAGCTGTGCAACATTCATCTTTCTTTAAACTAAAAGCAGAAAATGTGTTAAAGGACGAAAAGATGATACATAGAGCCTAAACAAGCTGCTACCCTCTGACCAAGGAGAGGAGAGAACCTTTAACAAAACCTTAACCGCGTTCACATCTTAAATTTTTACCGTAGCAGCCTTTTAAAATCCCGTTGAATGTGTGCTGCTCCAACTTAGCTGTAATTAGAGGTGCTCCTGTATCCTGAACTATTTCTGTGAAAAAATCTTAATATAGTGATTATTTTAAACTGAAAAATGGCTTAAAGACATTAGTTACTTTACCTGCTTTAGTGAAGGAGATCACAATTCCCCTGTTCATAATGAAATCCATGGTAAACTTCCTGCCTTGTATGAATTCGTAAGAGATGTGACTTGAATGTAACAGCTCTGCAACACTCCCATTTAACAGACACGGCTGCCTGACCTGGACAATCCCTATTCAAAGAAACTGAGGTCAATAATGGAGCATATGCAGAGCCAAAAGCCCTACACCATGAAGGTAAGAGCTTCCTGTCCTGCAACACATTCCTCTTACCTGCTCAAAAAACTCCACCAGCACTGGCTTGTACAGCTGCAGGTGTCCTCTGTCAAAGCAAAAGGGTTTGCATTTGCAGCATCAGTTTTGCCACAGGCTGATGCGCTCCAACATGGGGGGGTTGAGCACAAGTACCTCAAATATACCCTGCTCTCGCTCAGAAATTTAGATATCCTGGCACAAACGGGGAGATCTTCAGAGGCAGCCAACCCCAAGGCTGCTCTTTAGCTCTGCATCTTACTCCCAACTAGGTGCCAGAGGGGAAGGAGGGAAAGGGGCAGTAGACTTAAATGTTTCTAGGAACTGTTATGCAGGAGATGAATGGGGAAGGTTCTGCTCTCATCTGCCTTAGAGAACTGCCTGTGTCTGTGTTCAGCAGAGTACAAAAACAATGATTTATATAAAATACACATGTTGTACATTATATTGATATAAGGACATATTTTTTAATATACACATACATACACCCCCTCTCCCATAAAAATATACAACACATGCACATACAACTGTCCAGCTAGCACATAGTCACAGCCACTGCGGGGGGGTAGGTGCCCCTCAGTAGTGTTTGTGTCTGGTGATACAGGAAAGCAGCACTGCCATTTAGTGATGGTGTATTAAAAAAAAAAAAATCTCTCTCTCTCTCTCCAGCTGATGATAGTGAAACAACGGGAGCAGCCAGAGATGCTTTTCCGACAGTTCCTAGTAGAAGACAAGAATATTTATGGAGGAGCTTCTTATGTGGATTTCCTGTGCTGTGTCCACAGAGAGATCTGCCAGTTGCTCAATTAAGGAAGCTCCAGTGTCATCGGTGGTGGTTTTATTTTGGTTTGGTTAATTTGCAAAGAGGGGCAGTACCTGGTGCCTGCAGGGCAGCCAACAGCCCCATCATACCTCGGCCTTATGCTGTCCTTTACTCAACCTTCCCAGTGCTCTTTTTGTACAGTTTCATTTCACGCAGCCTCTCTCCATTTTGTTTACTTACCTATTAATCTGTAGAATAGGAAGTTCTGCACTCAGGTATTAAATCTTTTGGGAGCAGCTTGACTCTTTCTCCAAGTTGAATTGTTAAATTCCAAACTGTCAAAGCTTTAGAGCATATGGTATGCACTTTCTAATAACAAATTAGAATTTAGAAAACTTCTTCATTATTCCTTTTGCTAGCTACAAATTATATGATAGCCAGAAAATATATCCAAGAAAAGCAAAATCTATATAGAATGGGGAAGAAAAAAAAAAAAAAAGGCAAAGCATTGGCCAATGAACACATATAGTTGGATTGTTTTCACAGTAAGCATGCAGTTCAGTTTGAATACTTAAGGGCCTTCATGTACACTTTAGGATCCCTTCCTAAAGTATATTAGGAAGTAGTCCCTTTTCTCCTAGAAGGTACAAACACAAATGTCTCCAGGACTAGCTCTGGCCAGCCTGGCACAGCCACACCTGCCCAGGCTCAACCAACCACCTCAGCTCCTAACTGGACTTGAACATTTAATAATGGACCACAGGTAGAAAGGCAATTAAACAAATCTTATTCTAAGGTTTTGCAATTAATGTCACAGTGTTATGGTACCATTCTTTTATCTTAAGGGCAGTAATTATTTAGCTATTTAATTAATTTACATTTTTAGAATTGAACATCTCTTAGGCTTTGTTTAGTCCATATGCTAACTAGAATACTCCCACGGCACTATTTAGATCCACCTTTGGCCCCTCAAGATACCAGCAACAAGTCACCCTTAAGATGGCAGATACATTAAAAAGTTTTTTGTGGTGCTATAAAAGGAAGCCTCTTGTTTAATGAGCTTCATTACAGTGACCTTTTTCTCCAATGATCGACTCTCCCTACAAGAGTCACTGCTTTTAAAAAACAACCTCTGACACTATTTAAGGTAGGACTTAGAAAGCCAGAGTCTTTGGAAGAGCTGTTTACCTCATAGTTCAGTCTGTTCATTTCTTTATGACCAACGTCTCTTCATATGAGATTTGAACTTTTTTAAACTTGAAAAACTTATGCTAAAGATAAGCATTTTGAAGACAAAAATCCTTCCTCAAACAGCAAAGGCTGAGCTCCATAATAAAAAGTGCCTTTTAAGAGCAGCAGTGTCACTGATTAGTATTGATCAATACTAGCAGGTAAGTTTGGCAGATTAATTGAAACAGCTGCATGCCTTGTCCATCACTACAGACTTGTACAAGTGGATACCTTACATGGACTGAGTTGTGCAGCTCAAGAACAGCACACTAGCTCTGAGGATAAGGTTAATGTGTACAGTATTCGTTGTCATTCCCAATCATTGTTACATTGTAAAAAAAAAGACACCAGCAACTTTAAATATAAAGACATGACCAATGTTGTGGATAGAGTGTTTATTCCTTCATGTACTAAAAGTGCTTTGTTTCTGGGAGTGGAGGACAGAGAGCGGCTATCAGGCTTTTTAAGCTGCCAATACCTAATGCTCCAGGACCTACGCTGTGCATGCAGTGGGGTGAATGGGGTTCGTGCAGCTCCCCGAAAGCACCTCTTGTGGCGCCTGCAGCTCTGAGACAGGGCAGAGTTGCATTAGCAACAATAATTGCAATTTCTGCACAACATAAAGATTTTGGTGTGGGTCCAAGTAGTAAGTCCTAGGGGTTTGGGCGTGGGGGTCTGAAAGTGACCTAAGGGTAGGTCACTTTCTCCTGCAGGAAAGGGAAGCTTATGCAGCATCACAGGGCTTTGTTTGATTTATGCTTGTGTTTGTTAGCATCAAACCTGATTACAGTGAGGAGAGAGAGAGAGAGAGAGAGACCCTCGAGAAGGGCAAATACAGTCCATGGTCTGTAACAACCTGTGGGAGGTTGATGGCAGATGAAGCGTTTAAAAAGAAAAAAAACACCACCCCACTTACCGTATCAAGCAAGAGCCTCGCCGATGGTGCAGTTTGCACATAACAAGACCTGTACCACGGGAGATATCGTTTGCAGCTGCTGCAGAAGGTTCATGTTCCCTCAGTGGTGGGAAGGCAGCGAGCTGCTCGAGCAGGAGGTGCCCGCTCTGGGCCCCCTCTGCACCCTGTCCATGCTGCCAGCCCCCCAGCAGTGTATCCTTCTAGCACGGCACTTTCTTTGCCACTGTAAGGCTGTCTCAAGGCCTCTCTAATTTTAGGCATGAGGAAAGAAGCTCTCAAAATTTAAAATTGCAACAACCAAAGACAAGACACTTACCCGTGATTCCAGATACTTGCAGCTTCCTGTCTCTTAGGAGTTTTGCTTAAATGAAGAGTGGATGTCATTATCTAGTGATAGTGTTATTATCTATTCCCCCTATTATCTAGGGGTTTTCATTTACTGAAGTACTGTTTTCCCTTTAAAAAAAAAAAAAAAGCCATACTTACAGAACAAAGACTTAATAGGCTTAAAATGTTCGTTTTTCTCCAGAGGGCACTCTGGATACTTCTAGTCCCTACCCCCCATTCTGTGACATCTGAACAGTGTCCCAAAGGCATACCTCGACTTAGTGGCATTTAAATCCCAATTCCAGATAAAATTTTTCATGGGTTTTCAACCTAGATTTATTTGTCCTGGCTGTCTAGACTGGATGCCAACTTATTCTTGTGTCAAGAAAATTTAAAAACATGCCACTTACTTCATCAATAAATGACTCTTCAGAAAAGAAGAGCATTAGTATTTAAAAATGGAACCAAACTCTTTAAACTTCAGTATGTTGAAGGTAAGGGGTAGGAGGGGAAAAAAAAAAAATCAACAAAATTAAAGTTATGTCTTGCTCAAGGTAAAATCCATTACTTAACCTACCTTCTCCCTTATATAACAAGAGAGAAAACAGGAAATCAGTCTGTCAGTAGGTATTACTTGTTTACAGCCTTGATATTATTGCAGTGAGCTTTACGGTTCTTCCACTCTTTTCTGTAATGACATCAAGACATGAAACAAATGCAGGTCCCGTGACAAAACCCCCCACTCGGCTCAGCAGAGCCCTCTCCAGTGCCGCCCGCCGCTTGGCGCTGCTTGCCACCAAAGGAGAGGCGTTTCACTCCAGTAAACTCCAGCCACAGGGACAAACCAAGGGCTGAACCAGCACATTACTCACCAGTTCAAGTCTTAAAACTGAGACACTAATTGACAACCACTAATGAAATCCAAAGCTTTTCATCTCTAGACACCATGCCGGATATGGTTCCAATCAACAGTGATTAAAAAAGTAACCAGGCGTTTTATTGTTTAATGTGACTTAAATATCCATATAGCCTCAACCCAGTGTTCTGTGAGCATCACTTCCATCGCCTCCACAGCCACGAGGAAGTGGCCCGTGGCCCGTGCAGGAACCCCCAGCCTGCACCTGGCTCTTTCTTACCTCTCGGGCAACCAGCTCCAAGTCATCATGGAAAGAGCAGCTTCAGAGCAGGCCCAGCCGGGGGCCTTCCCCACAGCCGACGTCACGATTCCCTGCTGGGTAACCTCAGTAGGATGAGCGAGGCAAGCGGTTTGCTGGCGACCACTCCACTTCCCCGACCTTCAGGAGAGCTGGCCAGCCAAAGACAGGCTCCTTTAACACTCTCCCTAGCAGTGATTTTTTTTTTTTTATTTCCCTTACTCTCTTTCAGCCTTAAGGGAAAAACCCAGAAACATAACTCCTTCTGCACATCCAAATAGGATGGCTTATTTACAAGACCATATGCAATTAATTTCACATTTTCATTTTGCTGAAGTCTCAAGCAGCATCATTGACTTCTGCAACACTGGAGGAGATGCAAATCCCAGGCAGTTACAGCAGGGAATTTGAAGGGAGCTGGAATCTAGTAGTTGTGAGGAGGAGAGGGAAGAAAAAAAAAAAAAAAAGAAAAAAAGAAAAATGTTTTACCATTAGCCAAAATAAGTACCTCTTCTCAAAGTGTTTCCCGTATTTACTTCTGAACTAACAACACGAATAGGATAAAAATGGAGAAAACAGGCAATTTTCCTCGACAGTTAAACGAGCAGTACCATTAAAAACATCCTGCAAGCATCAGGTCACTCCTCAGCGTGACAGCTCTGACCCAGGAAGGGAAACAAAGGCACGAGTTTTATTCACTCACTGCTGATCCCCTGCTGGAAATACTACCAAAGGCTGTGACGGGGACCAGTTCCGACCAAGCAAACTCTTCTGTGCTCAGATTTCATGCACCACAAAAACAGTTTCCATCTGCACTTTTATAACAGTAGACAAGAAATTATAGTGTAATTCTACAACCTTCTTTAAGAACAGTTAGAGCAAACCCACAAAATATTAAGTAAAATATTTCAACATTGGCTTTGATAAACAAGTTTAATTCTCTACAAGATAGTTTATAAAAACTAGGCTTCAGCCAACACAGAGCATGAGACTTAAAAGCCAATTCTCTGAAACCCATGCCTAAGAATTGGGGACTTCCATGGTCAGGTTTGTTCACTCTACCAAGTATTCTCCAACAAATGCAGAACCAGGTCATTTTATAAAACCCAACACTGTACATACCGAAGCGAAGCTGCCTCCGGCGCCCTCCCTACCCGGCCATACACCCATCCGAGATCATTCCCTCGGCAACATCCGAACAGTTCCAACAGGGCCTCCAAAAAGGTCTTTTTATTACTTATATTGCAGTTGTTCTGCAATAAAAATGTTTTTCCCTACTAAAGAACAAGGTTATTAACAAACACTGGATGCAAATGCCCGCTAATGAAACAATCCAGATCTATGCAGACATCTGGAACAGGTATAAATGCATAACAAGATTGTGCTTTCCATGAAGCACATGTGACTGGGCAAGAATATTCACTCTCCCCACTATGAACGTGAGAAGTGAGGGCATACACACCACAAAGGAAAGGCCAAAGGAGAAAAAAATAAAGATTTGTGTCCCTGTTCTGAATCCTGGATGATTCAGAAAATTTAGGCCAAATAAAGAAAAAAATAGAATTCAATTTATTCTATTAGCTCCTTAGTTTAAGAGAAGGTAAAATAAGTGTCACTGTAGACACATTGCTATTGCCATGCAACTCCCAACTGCATTTTGTGCCCATTAGGTCATACTAACTCAAGTCAGTCCATACCTGGGCCTATAAAGAAGGAAAAGCCATCCACATTTGGAAAAACCTATAGTTAAAAAAGCCCACGGCTTGCAAGTTTCAGAGGGGAGGAGCAAGTATCTTCACTTCCATCCTACCCCCGCCTGAGGAGACGGCTCACTCCGTTTTGCCAAACAGAAGCTGCCGGGAGGCCGAGCCGGGCGCAGGATCCTGCCTGCTGGCGAGGGGCTGCGTCGGGCCAGTCTCAGGAAGGCAGGACATTTGGAACTGCTTGCACCAAAAACAACGTTCAAAGTCATCTAGCTTGAGTCCCCAGAATGAACAAGACTAAGACCAGGGTCAGAGATGAAGCACGGGAGCAGGAGGAAGCAATTCCTTAACCATCATCAGCGCGTGGGGAAGCCGCCCCTGTGGGTCCCTCCGCGCCCCCCTCGGAAGCCACCCCGCTCACCCCGGAAGTTAGTTCTGTTCCTCTCGCGGCCCCTTTCTCCTCGGCCTGCGGCCGTTCCCCCCCCGGGGGGCCCCACCGCCCCGGTCAGACTTGGACTTGGGCGGCGGTGACTTGGGCCGCAGTCTCTCGATCTCCTCCGTGCAGCCAGTGAGGTGGGAGTTGGGAGCGGCAAAGTACGAGGCGTAGGTTTCTGCATTGAAGTTGCTGTTCGTGAGGGTGGGTCCTACAGTCAGCCAGCCTGAAGAATAAAAAACCACAGTCATCAAAAGCGAGGCCACGAGGCCGTTACTGCCCCTTTCCTAGGAAGCGGACAGAGAGGCAGTGAGAATATCCCTCCCATTTACTGCCTGACCTGCAGCATCTCTCCGGAAAGCTCTTCACCAGACGCTCGTGTGAACCCTACAGCCAGCACAGAATTCTGCTATTTTATCTTGTGTATGATAAAGATATTTCGATTTTCAAAACTACTGTAGAGTTTAGTGCATTATGCCCAAAAATAAGAGTTTAGTAGAAAGGTCACACATGGGATTAGACCTTAAAAAAGAATAATGAAAGACCATGCCTTTCATTATTCCACTGAATTACTGAGCAATTTCAGGATTTACCTTCAACTAGAGATAAAGAAGCCTGGATGTCTTACTGTTTAAGCAATTATTCACCTCTAAAAATTAATATTTAGAAAATAAAGCTTAACAGTAGGCAGTAGTAAATGGGATTTGGGACTTCTGCTAAAGTAATAATAGCAGAAATTATAACCATAATTGTAACACACAATCAGAACTGCTCTGTAACACACAATTAGCAACAGCTCCTGCAACTTAGGCTGTTAGGCTGACAATTCATCCCAAGATGGGGACTTTTTGTTGAGGGGAAAAAAAAAAAAACACACACACACACAGATCATTGTTCTATCGGTCATGGGGGACAGGGCATTAACTGGCAGAAGTTACTTCGATGCTGTCCTGGCATTGGGAGAACTGTCCAGGGAGGCCATAATCCTCCTGTGCTGCTGGACGTGGGCCAGACAGAGAGGGAGAGGACAGGGAAACCTGGGAAACCTCTCTGTCCAGTACCTTTTCTCTCTATCAGATTTCCACCACAGACAAGCCATCAGGAAAGACACTCCATCCCATGCAGCTCCTTATCCAAAAAACTTGCTGAAAGTACTTTACTGTGACCTCTGAACTTAAGATCAGCTAGTGCAAACAGGAGAGTCATACATTAGGATTAAAAGCAGTTTTGTCTCAGCTTCCTTTGGAATCCATCAAGTGGCCTCAGGGTTAGTAAAACAAGCTAAATTTAACTCAGACAAAATAAAGGGAACAGCTACCTGGTCGGATTGTGCTGTCCCTCCCGAAAAGATGAAGACGCCGTCGCCCGAGGCAGAAATGCTCAATGATGTGAAAAATCTCCACAGGTTTTTCTATGTTGCCGATTTCAGGCTCTTCTGTGATGATGAGGTCAATGTCAACATTCGCGTGGATGAAGTCCCCATCTGTGCTGCGACGCACAGTTCCCTTGATGCCCATGAGGCAGTGCTCCTGCGGGCACAACACACACAACAGCAGCTGTAACGTGGCTCATCGCAGTTTCACGCACTATGGAGAGGAAGGAAAATTCTAGGTAGACTAAAACCTGCTCTTAAACGGATAACAGTCTAAATTTTGGACAAGCTGAAGCCACCAAGACAACCTTCCAGAAACAGAGGGAAGAGACAGTACTTCAAGTTACCTGATTTGCTGACCTCCACTTCAAAGCTCTAAGCTCCAAAAATTATTTAGAGACAGAAATAAGATATTTGGACTTCTTCCGGTTACTATGAAGTTACAGAAGCTTAAGTTAGAAAGAGTCTGAGAATGCACCACAGGAAAAGACAGAGTGTAAGGCAATAGGCAGAGTATCAACATTCTCGTCATAGCTTTATTATAAAATAGCCTGTCAGTGAAAGCAAGAAAAACTATTAATACATGTATATTAATACATGCATTTTCTCCTATCGTACCTCTTGTACGAAAGTAGCCTTCACCTCCAAATTCCTTTCTAGGAAATACAAGAGCATCCAAAGCAGTAAAATCTCTCTCAAGGTATCAGTACACACTGCACCAATTCTGCCAGTGCTAAGTGCAGTATGCGCCTCTTTCCTCTAGGACATTACAGAGCAGTGGAAGTGACTAATGTATATCTGTGAATGAAGAATCACCATAATGGGTACAGAATGAAATGAGGGCTCTACAGATTGAGTTCAGAGTTCTGTTTCTGGGAATACTATGCTCAAATGAGCAATTTTCCTTAGGTCATAAAACACTGATTTACTAAGCATCACCAGATGGCTCAAAGAAATTTGCAGATAAGTATATGATCATTTCCAGATTTCTGGCATAGGCTTTGAAAGTTAGTGAATAAATATAAAAGGCAAAAATAGTGACCTATCAAATATATGCAGCTGATCAACTGTTACAGGGTTCTCAGATCTTCAATTTAACTAAATAAAACAGAGAATACTGCTAAGGACATTACTCATCAGGTAAAGTCTATTAAGTCCCCCCAAACTCTCCTATACTAAAGCTTTAATCACTTTCTCACGCTGCACACATATTTAGATTCATAACAAATGCAACAAACTTTCAAAACAAAACAAGAAAACACCTTTGGATTAAAGTGAATGCAAATCAAAGAATGATTCCTAGTATCTCGAAGGGAAGTGTAACCTTGTAAAAACTGGCAAACCGAAGGCAAAGCCTAAGACATATAACACTCATCACATACCCAACAAACAATTCATGAATGTGCAATGAGTCCTGAGATTCACAACAGTCTGAATTACTATCAGCCAACTCTTTGCATTTGGTCTAATTGCCAGAGTTGCATCCACATATGCCCCAAACAATTCTTTATTATTCCACTCTACTTCTTTCCTCCAGGATCATGAATAACATACCTTACGCCCTGTAAATCAGAATACTCTTCTCTCACGGTACGTCCTTCAGTACACGTTTCCTCTAAAACACATCCCTAAGAAACTGCTTAACTTAAACCAAGCTGTTTCTGTCACTTGTGCGCGACAGTCATTTTCAGAAAGACGGCGACACTCACTGATCTGCTGTCCCTAACAGCCTTCCAGCCGGTTTGAGGTCTGTGCAAATACCTGCACACCTGTATTCAAAACCAATAACCAATCATCTGGGTATTTTTTTTTAATTATGTCAACTCCTAATCAACAGTTTTAAGATTTATTTTTACATCAAGTGTAGTCAAATTCTAATTCCAAGCTTAGTTTCAATCAGGAGGCATTCCTACCCTAAAAAGCTGACACCTTCATCAGGAAAAAGGCTTGTATGCTATAAAAGAGGTATTGCTAGTAGGCTAACTGCTTATTTACTATTCCCCCTAAACCAAAACAATCAGGAAGTCTAAAACATTGCAACATAAAGTAACATTTTCTATTCTGTTTCCATTATTATGCTCAGGATTTCCCCCTGACACACACACACTTCAGCAACCTGCAACCCCTTTTCAGCTCTCTGCATGTCAGCGAGGCTTAAATGAGGAGCACGTTTGGCAGACTGGAATACCCAGCAGTGCTAAATGTAGATGATACTGCTACACTGCATCAAATGAGTAAAGCAAGAAGGGGACAGAAGTTAGTCCTCTATCCTCTCTCCATGTAACACACGTTGCAGAAGAGAACTTTGAGATGTCTGTTTTACTGAAAGCAGGCGCAGTGGAACAGCTGGTGTTTAATTAGCAGAAAGGGACAGGGGGAGAGGAGGATAGAAATCAAGCCAAACCTTTACCTTGGTCCTTTGGAAAACAGCCTTAGGGTCTAGAGTCTTTGTCTTTCCAGGATTGTTTTTATTGGTTTTAATCCAACAAATGTCCTCACATCTTCTGTAACCCCATTTGCGTAGACACTAAAATATTATGGACAGACAAAAATAAAGTCTGTAATATACCAGAAAATAAAAACCTAAACTGAACAGCAAAATACTTGTTTTAAAACTTCTAATAAAACATAAAGCATGAACCTGTCAGATATATGAAATGTAGGTTTACAAGCATGCCTGTGCAATCATTTGTCAAACTTAAGCTTTTAATTTTTTTTTTTAATGCATAAAAAATGACATAGATTCCCCTACAGAAATTAAAATTTTATCAGAGTCAGTCTAACCAATGTAATCACCAGATGTCTTGGTCTCATCTCCATTAGCACCTGCACTCTGGTTGAGTTTCACAGAAAAGTGAAACCATAAAAAAGAGCTGATAAAGGACCAAAAGCCTGTGCAATCATTTTGTGGCTTTCCTCAGATTTGTTTAGAACTTATATGACTAGTTTTTAATTCTTAATTTCTGCTAGTGGCATCTTACATTGCCATTCATGATCAATTCTCTTGTTTTCCAAGAACTGTCCAGCTATGTCCATGACAAAATCAAAACAACCTCAAAATAAGAAGCAGATGATAAAGCGAACGCATTGGCAACCATATGTCATCCTGTAATGAATGGCATCTTGCTATTTTCATAGGAGGCACTGAAGCAAGCGAAGAAACACATGTTCCAGCAGGCTCTTGTTATGTTGGACATTCTTATTTCAGTGCTCCCAACACAAACAGCCCTTCCACAGTATACAGCACATTATTTTAGAACTCCAAGATCGCTTAATGCAACGAAACACAATTTTATCACGCTATAAAACAGCAGCACCTTCCTATTCAGATGAGAGTTTCTGGATAAAACTATTAAGACATTCATTAAGGGCGGGGAAAAAAAAAAAAAAGTGATGGAATCGCACTAAATGTGGCCCTTGATTCCTTACAGCAACCCGCATACAGGACAATAAGTCAGCAGTACAAGTTTCCAGACACTACAGAGCAATACTTCCTCAAACAGCCACAGCAGCCCATCTAGAAAATAACTCTATCTTAAATAGTAAATGCCAGATTAGACTCACTGAAATTACATAGTCTCTAGCACAGTCTCTCAGCATGAATGGAGAATTCTATGCAGAGAAAGTCAATGATAAAAATAAACGCTTTAGCCTGTCCCTGATTAATTAAATTAAAACATCATCTTACCACTCTGCCAAGGTCTAGACCCTCTCCTGAGCCGCACCACAGAAATACAAATGACCTTGGCGCTGCAATCTCTTCAATTTCCAGTTTCATGATCTATAAAAAATAAAAGTGTTTCCAAATTAAATATTTGCTTTATGTAACATAATCACAAATTACATCAGGAAGAGCACGAAGTAAATACCAAGGTGTTATCACAGGAACCTTCCAGAAGCACATTTATTACAGATGCAAGCCTAGATACCACTCTCCTCAAAATCATAGCTTCAAATCTGTGCACCAGCAAGCATATTGTAAAGGTTCTCATCAATACCTAAGCACGCTTTCAGCATGGTTGATAACGAACTTGATCATTCATACAGTGCCTCTCTTTAGAATATTCTAGACTTAAAGACAGATATATGCTGCATCCTTATTTTTCTGTAAAGATGTGCTTCATTTTGTTATTTCCTGAGTAATAACAAAAAATGTAATGAAGTAATAACATCCTCTTTCTTTTTCACTCTGAGGTTATTTATCTGAAGTTGGAGAAGATGCACATACAAACCATCACTATTATTACCATTATTGTATAGGAAAAATCTTTCCATTTTCTCTTTGGGGAAAAAAAAATTAAGAACATATTAAGAGAGTGCTTCAACTATGACAAATGAGTAGCATTCAGGGCACAATAACTTCTGATGCAAAGCATCTGTTACTCATTACAAGTTAAAGAGATTCATCTGTAACTTGTTAACACACCCAATCAAGCTTCATTCAGTGCCACTGTGAAGAAAAAAATGCAGCAGAAGCCATTCTAAGAGGATATAGAACACTGAGGCTGAAGACTCCTGATTCAAACACCTCCAAACTTTCCAGTAAGGACTCCCCCCCCATTTTTCTCATCCTCCAGACAACACTGATAAGTGCTGCTTTGGCTTGAGGTAACACAATGTGACTAATAGAAAAGTTACCTACAGATTCCTGTCTATCTCTTACAGGTAGGTTACCTAATTTCTTATCACAGACACGAATGTTTTGTTTTCAAAACTATTCTTTAAAACGGAATAAGTTTCCTTTTTCTCATGATACTTTTCTTGAGCTCAGCCCCTTCTGGAGCTATGTACCTGCAAGTTTCAGCCAAGGGGACAAACTAAACAGATATTAAAGTACCCCTGTCCTCAACTGCATAGAGCAGAGATGAGGTAAGTTTCTGCACCTACTGCTTCAGTCCAACGATTCACTCCTTTTATTATAATGTAGCTGCTAAGGCAGACATCATCCTGCATACAGATCAGATATGGTCTCTAACAAAAGCTCTTCTATCTAGAAATCACATATTAGAAAGGCTAATAAATTAGAAAGGCTATTGGAAGCCTCTGAAAAAACCTGAAGAAGTCAAAAAAAATGCAATGAATATTCCAAAAGCCAAACCAAAAAAAAACCCACAGAACTTGGATTAGTAGTAGGTTTTCATCCTGTCATTTAACACCCTGCCTTATTTAACTAGCCAGTTAGGCTCAGGGAGAGCAAAAGGGAATACCTTAATTCATTAAAACTTAAAAACAAACAAAAAAAAATTACTCTCACCATGAATGGTGCAGGCACAAAATATAAGTCTGAGAGATAAAAGTCTACAATATAAAAATATGTCTGCAAGAGTTTTGTTTTTATATAATCCACTTTTTCTTCAAACACTTCCTATGAAATATTTTGCTACTGAATTAAGCCCTCGAGCTAGTTGTACATCTATGAATTTTTTCACAGTAAGAGAAAAATTACATGACTTACATCATCCCAGGTCCAGCATTTCTCATTGGCAGTAATGCCAGTCTCTCGATAGTATTCTTCCAATGGTGGTTCCAAAAGAATCACATCAAATTTGGACTTCAGTTCTCTAATATCAAAAGCTTCCAAGTCTGCCTGTAAGTACCTTTTTAAACAAAAGATAAGTAGCTTTTTTAAAAAAAAGGCACCTATACAATTAACTTGAAAATAGCAAGCTGAGTTTTGCGGTTTATACCTCAGTTTTTCACACAATTTCCTTCAGGGTTTTCATGTGATTATTACAAAATAATAATATTTCTCTGGGTACAGATTAAAACTACAGTATATTAGGTTCAGTAACATGCCACATGCTTATATTGCACATAACATTCCACAGAAAATTAGAGTAAGAGGACACATTACTTTAGCCTCAACTGTTCTTTCAGCCTTAAACTAAAAAGTAACATTGAGCTAATGGATGCTAAAATGACAGCTGAACATTATACAAGATGCTTTTTGCGAGAACAATTCCAGGTTATATTAAGAGACTTTTCAGGGGCTTGTTATTGTAAACCGCAGGATGTCAAAAGACTCATAATCATGTGGCACATTTCTTTTGATTCCCAGAACAAAGCTTGTAGCTCAGTCAGCCAACAGCTCTGTCTTAAAAACCAAAGCTTCACACCATATAAATAACCATACACTGCAAAGAATCTAGTTTGTACACTATATTAAACATCTATGTTAAGCTAGCCAAAACAAATAGATTTGATTCTTCTGAAGGTTCAATTACTTGATTTGTATATACAAGCAGAAATAGAAAATGTAAATTCTGAACAGGTGCTAAAGATGAAAAGATACGCAAAGCTAACAGCTAATTACAAACCGATCTGGAGGAGAAAGGCACTTCCACAAGAACACTTACATGGGAGGAGTGTTAGATTTAGATATCAGCTCATCCTTCAGTCTGATGAGCTCTCTAAGTTTTGGATATTCTTCAAACCTATCTGCTAAGCCTAAGGAGAAGAAAACATGAAGTTAATAACTACTTAGAGAGTGAGTCTGTATCAGATATGCATTCTCCAGCATCTTGAATAGGTCCAAATGATAATACTCAGTCTTAGAATCACAGAATGATTAAGGTTGGAAAGGGCCTCTAGAGAACATCTAGTGCAACCCCCCTGCACCTACAGCATGTGGCACAGGCTGGCACCCAGGCAGGGTTTGAAGATTTCCAGAGAAGGAGACTCCACGGCCTCTCTGGGCAGCCTGTTCCAGGGCTCTGTCACCCTCACAGGAAAGAAGTTCTTCCTCATATGGAGATGGAACTTCCTGTGTTTCAACTTGTACCTGTTACCCCTTGTCCCATCACTGGCCACCACGGAGAAGAGCTTGGCCTCATCCTCCCTACAATCACCCCTCAGGTACTTGAACATGTTGATCAAGTCTCCTCTCAGCCTTCTCTTCTCCAGACTAGTCTTAGTCTTTCCTTATACAACAAATGCTTCAGTCCCTTAATCATCTTTGTGGCTCTCCGCTGGACCCTCTCTAGAAGCTCCATGTCCTTCTTGTACTGGGGAGTCCAGAACTGCACCCAATACTCCAGGTGCGGCCTCACCAGAGCTGAGCAGAGGGGCAGGATCCCCTCCCTCGACCTGCTGGCAACGCTCCTCCCGACAGTCTGGAGTCTCCTTTCATTCTTGTAAGAACTCTTCAAAGCATTTTTTTTCTTTTTTGATTCATAGTTTACAAAAGCCTCCTGCCTCCACCCAGTTCACTATGGCTAATGTTACCAAATTTTTATTTCGGTTCGTAATTCTAACCTGTTCTGGTGCAAGCCAGATTCTTAATATCTACTCAATTACACAAGAGCACCTAGTTTTTGATCTCCACATACACTTAACATTTAGCTAGCCAGTATGCAGCTTCATCTACCTCATCTCTAATAGCAGGCTACACTAACTGCTTCAGGCAGATTCATTTCCATATCATTATTTCTTTCACAGGCTCTGCACGCAGAGACAAAACTCCATAATGTACCTGTATGAGACAGTGCATATCTACACCCTCCAGTTAGTGTGAGGAAGTACACAGGGGAAGAACAACAGTGCAATTGCATAAAATAAGATACCTTCAATCAATTACTATGACATACCCACATCTCTGATGAAGTTCTGGGGTCTGTGTCCTGTATCCACAAAGTGCTGGCAGTAATCATTGTGGGGATTTAAGCTTTGAGTGCCCTAGAGAACAAGAGGACTCGAGTGACAGCAAAAGTAGAATATCTGGACACACATATGCATCATTTGGGTTAGTCTGATTCCCCCTCCCTCCACAAGATGCCTTTTATAAGCAACATCCCCCCCTCTCCCCCTCACCCCCGCAAAAAAAGTCTTTGCATTGCAGGAATAGCTTACCTTAAGAAAAGTACTTGAATCTTTGTAAATCTCCTCTTCATATGGTAGGTTCTCTTCATCCTGCTGCAGTTCTACCTCATCCTTGGGAATAAAGCAGATTTTATAGGTGGTAGGATCGTGTTCTTTCTCTTCTCACTATTACTCTGTTTCTTAATGAAAAAATGAGCTGTCTATGAACATAGACAGGCCAGGTTTTGTAACCAGTTCATATTACAAGCCTAAACTTAAACAGGCTCAAATTCCTAATGAAAAGATTACATAAACACTAAATGGAGTGCATCTTTCTAAAAAAGGTTCTTACCTCTTAGCCAACAGGGAATCAGTAGTATCTACAGAAAGCAGCTGATAGCTCTATTACAGCTGCTCCACCTGTGGATTTCTAGTTTCTTCATTCACCTGCTTGTTTGAAGCTGATCCAAGATTTATACTGAATTTATTTTATATACATATATATATATAAAAATATATTTGATATAAATCATATATATATATGTATGAAATTAATACAATACATACAACAATACAATAAGAGCTTGGCCACTTCTAAGTCATTACCCTGTAATGACTTGGGGTAAGCTCCAACTTAATGGAGAACCTATTGATGACAGGAGTCACATGCTTTGACAGCTAAAGTGCATCCTTGCACTTAACGGGGAAATTGGAAGGTCAGCTAAGCTTTGCCATTCCTCAGCCTGCAGCTTTCCAAATCCACAGTTTTCTTCTGATAAGAAGAAACCTCCGCCAACACGTTTTTTGTGTTCCCAAGCACGTAGACACTTTACCACTTCATCCCCCGGAAGAGAAGGAGTAAAGGCACACACCAGCCTGCCCTTTGGGGCCTGGTGCTTTTAATGTACTTTCTTCCATGAACTGCAGCTAAACCAGGCTTACAAATACTGGGTTCTGGTGAACACTGAATTCAGGCACCTCAGCCACATCCAAAGACAGTCACCAGAAGTCCACTCCAGCTCTCTCAGATCTTTGCAGAGGAAGACATCAAAGAAGAATTTAAACTATCCACATATGTATACATGTATGTGTATGTCACATACAGGTGTGTGTGTATATGTGTGTATTTTTTTCCTAATCCAGATGCTTTAAAGTACATCCCTTGGTGGCAAATGCGCACTAGGAGAAACGGTCACAAACACCTTCCATTTTTTTCTTACCTTATATTCTTCAAGGTCTTCTTCATCAGCTTCTCCCTCATCTGGATATTTGCGTTTTGCATTTGGTGCAGATGTATCATAAGCAGCCCTGTAAACACAGAAAAAAAAATTCTAGTAAAAAGCAGTTTCTTTCTGCACAATGCTTCATAAGTTTCCAATTATTTTTTTAACAAAGGAAACAAAAGCTGGCCTTGATTTCCAAACCTCATATTTCCAAACTGTTCTTACAAGTTGCTGACAAGATCCCTCTCGTCTTAAGTTCAGATCGGAGCAACTAAAACATTTCCTTTTACCACATAGCACGTTTTCAACACAAACAGCACAATATTACTTTGAAAAAAGCAAACAAATGATCTTCCTCTTTTTAAGGTTTTTTAACTAGTAATAAACACAAACTTCTATCAGAAGGCACATGCCCATACAGACCTGCACGTTTCTCTTGTTTCAGCAATTTCCCGCTGGTCATCTTTGCTGTTCAGCACAGCACCGATACTGTCCGCGTTCTCAGCTCCTAGCTGAAGGCAAAGCGAAGTAAATTCCAAGCCAGACCACCACTCCTTAAGCGCAAAACCAACGGCAACCTGAGCCCCAGAGGATCGCTTCCCCACGGGAAGGGCGGCGCTGCTGCGGCCCCGCAGCCGCCGCCTCCC